AGGAAGGAAGGAAGGAAGGAAGGAAGGAAGGAAGGAAGGAAGGAAGGAAGGGTGGAAGGGACAGAAAATGCTAATCAAAACACCGTATATGACTTCTGTTTTACTCATTCTAATTGCTTGTCCTTATCCCTAGTCTACTCTTCATCTCATGGTCTAATACAACTCGGTTACTTTTGGTCTACTTTTCAAAATGGAACAGATCTAAAAGTTTGGAGTGTGGGGTAAAAGGGAAACTTGAATATTCATCTTTTTTCCCCCTTGTTTTACAAAGACAATGAATCAATCTTATTATGGTAAGAGTTGTTTTTTGTTTGATTAGTTTGGTTTTTGGTTTTCTTTTGTCATGGAAGCATACAGAATGGAGAATTTTCGTGTATACCAAATTCTGCCTATGGACCATTTTAAGCTGGTCTTGTATTTACATAATGTACTATTCATTTTTGCCTTTGTGTAGTTGGTATGTATAGGTGCAAAGATAAGTGTCTTTATGGAATATTTTGTCAAAAGCAGTCTAGAAAGATTGGAAAACAGATTTTATTGATGATTGGAACACAAATAGAACTGGGTATGTCCTATTAATTCTTAATTGGTAAATATGAACCTTAACATAGTGTCCATACTCTAACACATCTGTAAATTAATCCTGATGATATTTTTTCCCAGTTTTCTGTTGTGTTAAAATGCACATAACATAAAATGTACTATCTTGACTATTTTTAAGTGTACAGATTGGTGTCATTAAATACATTCCTAATGTTGTGCTATCATCACCACCATCCATCTCCAGGACTCTTTTCATCTTCTAAATTGAAATTTTATACCCTGTAAACAATAACGCCCATCTCCCCCCTTCTCCAGCCCCTGGCAACCACCATTCTACTTTCTGTCTCTATGATTTTGACTGCTCCATCTACTTTGAATTAGTGGAATCATACAGTACTTGCCTTTTGTGACTGACACATCACTTAGCTTGATGTCCTCAAGTTTAGCATATGTCAGAATTCTCTTCTTTCATATAGCTGAATTGTATGTGTATACAACATTTTTTCTTATCCATTCATCCATTTATGGATATTTGGATTGCTTCCAGGTTTTGGCTATTGTGAATAATGCTACTTTAATTCTTTGAGACCTGACTTTCAATGTGTTTGGGTATATACCCAGAAGTGGAATTGCTGGATCGTATGGTAATTTTATATTTTTAATTTTTGAAGAACCACCATACTGTTAACTGTTTTCCACTTTGGCTGTACCATTTTATATTCCACCAGTAGTGCACCAGCGTTCCTATTTCTCTGCATCCTTGCCAACACTTGTTATTTATTGTGTCTTGCATAGTAGCCATCCTAATGGGTATGAGGTAGCATCCATTGTACTTTTGATTTTATTTCCCTAATTAGTGATGTGGAGCATCCTTTCAAGTGCTTAATGGTCATTTGGATCCTATCTGTTTGATAAGATTTTGAGTGTTGCCTTCTAAGTTTAAATTTTACACTTTAAAAAAAGATTTATTTACTTATTTTAGGGACAGTGCTGGGTTTGGCCAGCAAACCCTGAGGCGGCAAATGAAAAGATTACTCCAGACACCTAAATAGGAGAAAGGAGAGGGCAAGGGGACCAGATGCTCTAGTGATGAAAGGTCCTGAGCCAGCCTCAGTCTCCCCTTTAATTGCAGGTCTTATCAATATATCAAGTAAGAGCGGAAAAATAGAAAGGAATGTTAGGCTTTAATAATCAAGACATAGACATATGGGGCAATGCATGATTGAAGCAAGCGGTGTTCGTGATGTGCGTGCAGGCTAAGGGTATGATGAATATGTGACCATAAGGTGAGAGTGTTTTTCATCTAAGTTAAACATTTATTCCCTAGGTGAGAGCGTTGAGCCGCAATAAGGATCTGGTTGTTTTCAGCTCAGAAACTTCAAAGGAGACCCAGCATTCCAGGCACTCCTCCTTTGCTTTTTAATTGGTCTCATCTCAGGAGTCATATTTCACTTAAAACTTATCTATCTGGGCACTATGAATCCCCAGAGAGAGAGAGAGAGAGAGAGAGAGAGAGAGAGGAGACAGAACAAGCAGGAGGGACAGAAGGAGAGGGAGAGAGAATCTGAAGCGGACTCCGCACTGAGCGTGTAGCCTGATGCAGGGCTTGATTTCATGACCCTGAGATCATGACCTGAGCCAAAACCAAGAGTCAGATGCTTAACCAACTGAACCACCCAGGTGCCGCTAAAATTTACATTTTATGAAGAATGTGCTATTGGTTAGTATGTAAAAGTTAAGTGCAACTTAATTTTCGTGCCTCTGCTTCAGTTGTCCTCCTCTGATATCACTTACTGCTCTAGAAATAACGAAAAGTTCGGGTGGGGACAAAAGAGCATCTAAATTAGGAGAAATACTTAGCTTCTTTCCACATATCTTCTGAATAGCACATTTGGAGGTATAGCTCATCAGTGCCTGCTTATTTGCATATTCACAATGATATTCACAACATTATCTTAACTCTCTTTTAGTAGAGTAAAACAATCACTTGATAGTCCATTAAAAAACCACATAACTAGAAAGTCACATCAGATGGAAAACTAATTAACTGTACTGTTTTCACATTTTGTGTGCATATTTTTTCCCTAATCAGGACTTTATTTAATAGCTCCTGTGCTCAACTTTTTTCATTAATTGTTTCAGATTAAATCTTCTTTTGTTGTTGTTAAAAGCAGTTATTAATGGGACCCGATGTGGAATGGACCACTGCTGATTCTTGATTCCCGTCACTTAGGCAAGCTTGTCAGGAAGCAGAGTAATGATCAGTATTCTTTCGTCTTCTCTAGGAACTGTTCATAGCCAGTCCTGGGCAGATACGAAGGATATGTCAGGATTGTTTTATAATGAATTTGAGATGGTACCTGAAAAATTGAGAAGGCAGTATACTTCAGGTGCCAGCCAGATGTTCCTCAAAGCACTACCTCCTGATAGACCCTGGGAATCATGATCATATCACCCAATTATGATGTCGTGAGAAATGTACCATTAAATGACCTTCGGGAAGGGACTGGGGAACTGCATTTGGAAATTTACAAAATTTAAAGAGCAATCATATTTCATAGCAAAAATTTGAGGAATAGATGAATTATGGAGAGATTATTCAAATCAAAAAGTATTATATGTATACTTTAAATAAGAATATATCCCTATTTAAAATATGAATCAATTCATAAAATATTCTTTTATTTTTTCTCTATTTTTTACTCATTAGGAAATCATTGTAAATATAATCAGTATTTTCCAAAGATAAGGCATGTTGGATTCATATCTGTGCAATGTTTTTTTTTTCTTAAGTTTCTGTTTAGTATTTTTATGTATCAAGTTTTTATGTAAATTCCAGTTAGTTAACATACAGTATAATATTAGTTTCAGGTGTACAATATAGTGGTTCAACACTTCCACACAACGCCCAGGGCTCATCACACCGAGTGCGCTCTTCAATCCCCATCACCTATTTTACCCTTCCCCCCCGCCCTTCTCCCCTCTGGTAACCAGCAGTTTTTTCCTTCATCCCCAGGAATTGGTTTCTCTGATCTATATTCATTTTAGTCAGAATTGCAGTTTTGCAGTCCATAAACTTCTAAACACCAAAAATTTTTTCATGATCTTCTAGTTACCTCGAGTGGCAAAATTTGATCCGTGCTAATGTGAAACTATTTATAGACTTCATCCTACCAATCATGAATATTTATATTTTATTGCAAACACATTAAATAACTTTGAATAGAGCTGCTGACTTAGATCCTCTCTGTAGTATGCATTGTGTTACCTTTCTGAGATCTGAAACATGTTGAATTCCAAATATATTTGGCTACCAAGATTTTGGATAAGAAATGATGGATCCACACTGTATTTATGTTCTTTGGCCAATCCTTGAAACCCATTGTTTTTATGTCGATAGCTTTGCGGAATGGAATTTAGTGTCCAAAGAGAGGGCTTCTCCAGGTAGAGCTCTGTGGAATGCTTGTTGGTGTGACTAATAAGGTTCAGAGTTTTATAAAGGCCTTAAGTTTCTGCGATGATTACATACAATTTGACTATGTTTAGTATCAGGTATTTGAAAATTTCATTTTTTGTGAAGGTTGGATGATAAAACAAAGCACTCAACACGTTATTCTCTATTAATTATAGTTTGTCTATTGTAATTGTAGTTGTTCAACTCATATTGATTAACGGTGTCCCTAAAAGAATCTGTGATGATGAGGAATATGTCATCAATCAGTACCTGTTTCTCTTTTTCACTGGCAGGATGTTATTACCTGTTTGAACTCTTCTGTTTCAATTTCTGTTATGTGCATTTTATGTTGTGCCTTCTGATTAGGACACCCACATATTAAGATTAAAAGTCATGATTTGATAATCCCCCATTAATGCATGTTGATCTTCCAATGACACTATATATACCAATTGTAACAGTTTTCCATATCCAAACACAAATTGCCCTTTTGACTTAACCATACATTTGGCTTAAGGTATTTTTAAATGTCTTATTAAAGTTGGAGCAAATGATGGCTTTGCCCTGGGCCAAACCACTGCTTCTTATTCTCTGTACAATTATGTTAATTATATTTTGTTAAAATTCCCAGAGGCCTCAGCTCTAAACTAAGGACCAATATGTAGTTGGTATTTATCGTAATTAATATTGACTACTTGTGTGTGTGTGTGTCTTTCTTTTTTTTAACAGTTACATTTCAAAGAGGAGATGGAGGACTAATGAGCAATGGGAGGTATGCTAAGGAGATTCTTTTTTATTATTATTTTTAAGCAGGACTGGGGAAACTATAGTAAGAGGCTATTATTGTAATAAATGATCACTTATAAGTCTGAGAATTCTAGGAGGAATTAAATAGCTTACCACAAGGTTTAATGATCTATCTGTTGTACACTTAGAGGAATCAAGTCCAGATGTTTCATATCTCCCAGATGCCCCTGAAGAAATTAGTAGTAAATATCACAAGGAATGTGTTCATTTGTTAGCAGAATGTTTATTGCATTAATTAGACATTAGCAAATGAAGTTGCTGTTGTTTAAGGCTCCTTATTGGCTCTCACTAAATTGCTGTGAGTGAACAATTACACATAATCGATCACAAAGTAAATGATTCATGGATGATGAATAGGCTGTAGATTGATAGGACTGGATTCCACAACTTTGGTTACTCAATTGAAATTGATAAAAGCTGATAACAAACCCATATATCCTCATCTATTTCCCCTTTGCCAATATGGAGATTGTAATTAGGCTCTGGTAATAACTTCCAATCTCCCATTTAATCAATATTTTAGCAAAAAGAGATTAAGTCTAATGAGAGCTAGTGCATGGAGCAAGTAAGCAGTTGGATCTTCTTATTGCAGTTTCTATAGAAACACATGTTTCTCTTAGGGATTTCATAGAAACGGTCTAGCAAAAATAAAGTGCAATGATTATAGATGTTGCTATTTCTTTGTAAATATGCTAATAATCTGGAAAGGAATTGGATTCCCATCTTTATATCAAAAATGGAAAGTCTTTATTCAATATTATGTGAGGCAAGTTTTTCTCATAGATTATATACTCACATGCTGGATCAGATCACAGTGAATTTTAATTACCTTAAAAATCTTTATTATACCCCTAATATCTTGCAATTTAGAGAATTTGGAATTGTGCTATTGATGGAACAATATAAATATTGTTCATTAATTTCCCTCAAGTTCTTTGCCTCTAAATCAAGCATAAGGGCTCATAACAGGGGTTACAGCCTACAGGGGACAGATAAATACGGGGGCTGTAGGAATCGAGGAAGCAATAGCCCAAAGTCCTGGAAAGGGCTGATACTGAGCAGTCACTCTGAGCAATTGTTCCCTTGAGGTGTCAATTTATCACCAAACCTTGTTTCAGGATCCTGCTATGTTACCAATTCCCACCAGTTTCAGGGCAGACAACTGAATTCATTTGGATGTCAGCAGCATCCCAGGCAGGATGCTTCTGCTTCCAATGAGAGACTGTATATAGTCTTAATGAACCGTGGACGTTCCTTAATTCTTGAGAACCTACGCATTTTAATTTGAAGTGAATTAAAATCTTCTTAAGTTCTTTCAGCTATTTTAGTGCAGGAGACAGGTGTCCAAATCTCGCACTGAGCTCCATGGGTTGATTTCCTTTGAACTTCTGTTGCAGCCGCCCTGGTCTTCTAAATGCTGGGGATCCCAGTTATCCATGGCTTGCGGATTCATGGCCAGCCACGAGCTTACCGGTAAACAACAGCAACAGTGGCCCAAATGAGATTGCGAATTTTGGACGTGGAGGTAAGTTGTGCTATTCAAAACTTTATTATCTGTTTTCTTAGCTTTCTTCAATGTTTTAAAAAATACATACTATGGAGTATTTTCTTCCACAATTAAAATTACCAAAGTGCATGTCCTAACAGTGCTGTATGTTCACTAAATATTTTATATAAGACCACTGTGTCTATATTACCTTGAGTAAGACTAAGTTTTAAGGAAGTCATTACTAGCCAAGATGACAAATATTCATGATACATTTTAGGTTTAGGACTATTAGAGCAAGATTAGTAAAATCAGAAACTATGCTGTTAAGTAGGACTTATGATTTTGGACTAGTCATTTCTGTTCTCTACATGTCATTCAACACATATTTATTAAGTATGTCCTATGTACCTGGCATTATGGCAGACAGTAAAAATAAAATACCAGTATAAAGAGAGATGGTCCTTATCCTCATAGGATGTATGTTATAGAGAGTAGACCTTTAAATAAATATGACATGTTGAAGGAGAACTTAAATGTAGTTCTTCCGTTGATAACTGGTACCCCAAATGAAAAACAAAAAGATGCTAAGTTGCTGATATGATAAGGTCTCCAAAATTTGGTGCTAGGGTTCTCTCTGTAGAAACAGAATTTGACCTACTATAAATAATTACAGCCTCCCCACTGCCACCTTTTCATCCATTCGATAGGAGAATGATGGGTTTAGAGAAAGATGGGGCTGGAGAAGTCTGTGGTCCCAGTGTTTAAATTTGGCAGAAATATGTGAGTTTTCCATTGGCAGAAACTTGTGCAAGCAGTAAATGGACTGGAGCTGCTTTGCCGGTACCCGACATGAAAAAGCTGCCTATTGGGAATAAGAAAGTTCTATGAATGGAGTGTTATTTAAGTTGACATTTGAAGGAGAGCTAGAGATTAGTCAGAATTGTGTGAAAAGTGCGTGAAGAAATGTCCGTATTTTAAGGTCTAGAAAGAAGAGAGACATTGACCTATTTGAGAAATGAATGAATTTCCTAATGAGTATAAAGTACAAGGCAGCGGAAGTGGTAGAAAAAAAAATACAGAGGGACAGATAATAGAGGGCCTTCTAAGCCACACAGACTTTAAACTTTGTCCAAAGGGTAGTCAGAAGGCCTCAATGGATTTGTAAGAGGACAACACTGGGATCTAAGTACAGAGTTAAGTCATCCAGACTACTGCCGGGTGGTGAATGGAGTTCGAGTAGAAAATGGGATGATTAATTAGGAGAGTAGTGTTATAATCCATGAAAGTGTGGATGAATCTGCTAGAGGGTTTCTACAGCTCTGGGTGGAATTAATAATGGAGGAGACCCAGGGCTAAGCTAACCTATTATAAGCCTCAGTGGTGGATTTCACAGGCATGAGTGTATAAATATACTGACTTAGAAGAATAATCATAGATACTGGCATTTTCTCTTTATGGATAGAATACCAATGAATGTTTGAATATAATTAAAATAGTATTTCAAATAATAAAGCTACTAATTATTGCTTAAGTCTGCATTCTGTCAATACCAAGTTGAAGGAAGGGAGCTCTCTCCCAACCTCCAAATAAAATACAGAAAATAACCATTCCCCTGTCATAGGTATGTAATGAGGATTAAATGGATGATTACATATTCAGGTTTAGCACAAAGCTTGGCATACAAGTAGTGGCCGACAGGCATCAATATAGTAAATGAGAAAACAAAAGTACATTGCATGACTCCTCAGCTTTTTGCTTGCCCTCTGTAATTACCCCGTTTAGGATTCTTATTTGTCCAGAACCTCTGAAAGTGACTGCGTTCCCTAGTGGCCAAACTCTGAGCCCTTCAATTACAGGCTATTTCTTTTTCGTGGGTAGGTTCTATACCTGAGCATTTCCTCACCAGGAGAGCAGAACACTCCTCTCTACCCTATCCAGAATGATTTCGTCAAAAGAAATTCTGTTCTGAAGGCTTTTATTAATCAAGGATTAGATCCCTCTTTTACTTGTTGTATTTGTATTTGATTAGTGCACCATTCTCTTTACATTAAGAAATGAATGCCTAAAGATGGAGAAAGCGTTTTGTTTTGTTTTTGTTTTTTTCAGTTTCCAGCAGGCTACACTAACATCTAAAATGTCTCTAATTTAGCCAAAGGTTACGTTTGTAGATTTTCAAGGTTTTTCTTCTATATCCTCCGCATTTTTATGATATAAAATATTTCACAGGCGAACATACAGGCCAAGACAAAGTTTTTGCAAGATTTACTGTATTTCTTTTGTGATAGGCATTATAAGCATTCACTATGCACCAGAAATAGGTAGGCTTTTTTGTACATTTTGTTTCATTTCATTGACATAATAAATGTGTGACATAGATAACAATCATATTTACATTTTAAAGGCCAAGAAACTAAGGTTTATCGAGATGAATAACTTGAGATCTAGGTGTAGAAGGCATGTCTAACACATTTTAAAGCCTTGGTGCCTTTATCTACACTGTTCTGCAATCCTCTAGGTGGGATTCACGTGTATGACTGCATAACTATGGTCACTTAAAGAATTATTGTGGATACTGACATTGCCCTTTCAAGAATGGAATACTAACACATGTTTAAATGTAATGAAAATAGTATTTTGAATAATAAAGTTACTAATTATTGCATAAGTCTGCCTTTTGTCAATACAAACTATAAAAGATCCATTTAACCATTCAGCGAGTGCTTACCCTCTGCAAAACACTAGGTGAGGAATTATGGAAATCCAGATGTATGTTCCTGTTCTTAAGTATCTTACGATATGATACAGGAGACAATCATTCATTCAAGTATATCAGGCAAAAAGAAATAAGTGCATGGATCACTAAGGTGCTGAAACCTGCAAAATGAATCATGAGCAGGTCCACCTGGAGGGAGGGGTTTCTGTACTTCAGAGGTTTCAAACTCAAATATTAACAAGTTCCAGTCAGCCCAAAGCACTAAGGAAAGGTAGGTGTGGACAGTGAGAAGTGGAAACTGGAAGGTCCTACCTAAAGATAGCGGCACCTAGTCAGGTCCACTCTGTCGGCGGAAGGCTGGGCCAGACTTCCAAACCATCTGATATTATAGGATGATCCCCCACATCCAGATATTCATGTATAATCTTCCAATATTTCAACATTCGGATATAATTCAATTTATTTTCATAAAATGTAAGAGTGAGCCAATAATAGTTGAAGGAAATATGCAGCCCCCAAGTCAATACAGAAGCACTTAGACTTGAAGGCTGGCTAATTTCATCCAGCAGGGAGAGAGAGAGAGAGAGATTCTATTTCTAGCACTGTAGCTTTAGCTGTGGCCAGATAACATTCTGTAGGATTAGATCCTCGGACTACTTTTTTCCAGTTCTAAACATTTGAACACACAACCATTTCAAAAGCTTGCAGATAAAGTGGCTCCCAATCTAAATCAAAAGTTTTAGAAGGTCTCAAGTTCAAGGTGTTGGGAAGTTGGGACCCATGCTGGAGAAACATGTCTATCTGGTTAATAGTATCAATGAAAGATGGTGGATGTGGCAGAAACAAAACTCTGAAAATTTCCCCAGAGTGAAGGATCTATTTTCATAATTTTGATATATTACTAAATATTAAATGTTTCTGAGAATGAAAACGATATTGACATTTAAGGATGAAGTATACTTTTTCATTATCAAATGTCCTAATTAGTTTATAGGTAAAAGCTTTTTAAAAAGGCCAAAAAAGTAGTTATGGGATTCTGAAATGAAAAAATAATTGTACTTGCTTGTACAAGCTTGTGAAATATATTTGAATATCTTTAACAATTTCACTGATATGCATTTAAAATATTTACTTCAATAAAGTATGTATCCACTTACTTACAAAGCGAGTTGGAATTCCAGACTTCAGAAAGATCTAAATTATGCAGTGTGCAAAATAGATTATAAATGTCTTATTGCTGTTGCGAAAGAAGACATTTTTTTAGCTTTTGTAAAAAGCAAAATTAATATTTTTATAAGAATCTTCATCTCAAGTACTATTGGGTATCATCAAACATAAAAGTCTGAGAATATTTTGACTAAGTTTCACTTTCACTTTCTGCTTTTTTCTTGTCATGATAAATTGGTTTTGGGGGCAAAGTAATTGGTTTGTTACTTAATATTACAGTGCTTTAACTAGTTGAAAATTTCCTATAATGAAGAAACCATTGATGATCTCAAGTCCTATGAAGTGTGGCTTTCAGAACATAGATCGTTAAGGAATATATACTATAATTAGATTCACTTTTAACTCTACATGATTAAAAATATGTCATTTAGTGTTGTTCTGGTTTTAAAAGATTTTATTTGTTTATTTTAGAGAGAGAGAGAGAGAAAGAGCAAGTATGAGCAGGGGTAGGGAGGGAAGCAGAGGGAGAGGGAAAGAGAATCTCAAGCAGACTCCCCGTTGAGTGTGGAGTCAGACATGGGTCTTAATCTCACGACCCCAAGATCATAACCTGAGCTGAAATCACGAGTTGGGTGCTTAACCAACCGAGCCACCCAGGCACACCAGTATTTTTTTTTTAATTCTAATATCTTTCTTCTAAAAAAGGAAAAAAATAAGAGCTCGGGAGGGAGGTGGCAGTTCTGAATTATAAAGCATCATGTAAAGATAATTCAGTACACCAAAAGATAAATGGACTGATTGATATTCAGTGTTGTTACTAAGGTTTAATTTTACTCTTGCCGTATTATTACTTGAAACTATAATTCTCCACTTCTAAGAGTTAGTAGCATAAATTAAACCCACTGATCACTCAGATTGCTTTTTCTATAGTTAAATCCTGCTGTATTGTGAAAATGACTTATTCATGAAAATTATCTTTTGTTACCCAAGAAAAAAAAAATTCCTACCATCCGCTCCACTCCATGCCGGAACTGTGAAATCAAATCAGAGAAACAGCAAGCTGGAACTTCAGAAAATGTATCTCCTAGTTGGCTTGTATAGTCTAATTTTGGAAAATTTTGCATCTATTCAGCAGCTCTCTCCTCTATCTTTTGGGGTAAAGTGGAAAAAGATGTTTTCAAGCCATCATTTGTAGATTGACTTTTATCATTTCGTCTGTAAGGAGCTAACAGTTTCATTGGTCCTGAAAGCAGGATGCACAACTGAAAGCATTTTTCAGGAGTGAAATATCCCAAACATCTCATTCATGGTTGAAGAAAATGGGGGAAGGGACACGTTAAAGCAGTGAGATGTGAAGGACGAGCGGTAGGCCTGCCTGTCACCGAGGCTGATAGCTTGACCATGGTTGTACATCATCTCCCCTTCATTGATTCATAAAGCCCAGCTCAGCTGAAATGCAAACGTGCGGCATGACACATTTATTTTTCACCTTCAGTCCTGATAGTTTGGGGCTTCCTGTGCATCATTAAATTGTTTCATTTCCCTATGTTCACCACAGATGTGCTGCCGCCAGTTCCAGGCCAAGGGGATAAAACAGCAACAATGCTCTCAGATGGAGCTATTTATAGCAGCATTGACTTCACGACCAAAACCACTTACAACAGTTCCAGCCAAATAACACAGGCCACCCCATATGCCACCACACAGATCTTGCATTCCAATAGCATTCACGAATTGGCTGTTGATCTGCCTGATCCACAATGGAAAAGCTCCATTCAGCAAAAAACAGACCTGATGGGATTTGGATATTCTCTACCTGATCAGAACAAAGGTAACAATGGTGAGTCAGGGTCTTACACCCCGAGGAGTCCTTTTCATATCATTTGTGCATGGGATAGAAATTAGTATTTGTTGTTCAGTTTAGTGACTCATTACCAGGTTCGCTACCTAAGCGAAAAAAATATTCTCGGCATGTATTCAGTACCTTGCGCAATCCCTCCCACCGCCACCGCCACCGTCACTGCCACCACACACCAACACCAGTCGGTTCCATTCTTTTAGCTCTTTTTCAATAGAGTGGTCAGTAATCCATCTCAACTTCCATTAGGCAGGAGAGACGGAACTTTCCTCCACTGTCCCACGACATCTGCTTCTGAGTCGCTAACTGCATGTTCTGCATGGGCTTGTGCTGTGAACTAATCACATGATGCCACTATGACCTCTGCCCTTTAACCCTTAGCCTTACTTTACATCCCTGACTACCGATTGGCTGAGGGATTGTCTAATAGAATGCCACACAACCAGTCACAGGATTTCAGCACCACCAGCTCTCACAACAGCTCAGAGAGGAGTGGCAGTCTCTCAGGTTGGTCTCATCACAGTAAGGAGAAATATTTGTTTGTCACCAGCATATGACCTGTGTTCCTAACAACCGTGAAGAAATACTGAATCACAACTCACTGTCAGGCATTTATCTTTCAGATGACAATAGCAGTTTATTCTAATGAAATCGTGCTTTGGGAAGGGGGGAATAAAAATCCCTGTCAATCTTTATGTACTAAGTGTACAGCACCATATTTACTGAGAAATAGTGTCATTTTCCTAAATATTATTTAGGAAAGAGCAGATGAGTTTTATCCACCTTGAGCCCTACCTAAGAGCCAAGAGGACTTTATAAGGAAAAGATCATACAGGAAAGTCAACTCCATGACATGGACAGCAAATGATGAATTCAGTTAAAATGCAAATGATTTGGGACATTTTTCACAATAATTGGATTCCAGGGATGTGACTTTCTATTTTTGGACAATCTTTCCAAAATATTATTATCTATTGAATGATATTTAGTGTAAGGTGCTGCTACCATGCTAACCAAGAATGCTAATATCAGACATTATTCTTCACACTTAATTTCCAAAAAAATTATAATCTATATATGGATAATTCTTTTATGCTGTAGATGTTAATATATATTTGAGATATATCAGCCAAACCTACCATCTGTAATGTAGGTTTTGTATAGCACATAATCAGGACAGATTTTTACTGGACAGAAATATATGCCTATTATAATGAATAGCACTGATAGCCTTCAGGCTCAAGGATCCTTACCTCTAAAATAAGGAGGTCGTAGTAGACACACTCTACCTTCCAACCATAACATGTACATCGTGTGACTGATGACTTGATCTGCACATTTCTAATTGATTCCATGACCTTATTTGCTTATTTTTTCATATTAATGATATGCCATTTGTTTTTATGACCTACAAGTTCTTAGTAAAGTATTATAGTGTATTGTGATATGTCACAGGCTTCTAGGCTATAAAGAGTTAACTCTTCTACATCATTAGGGTAACATTTATTAAATGGCTTTTCCTCAGGAGATAGAACCCTTTCAGTCTGAAATGTTAATGCTCTCTCTTCCCTCCAAAATGAGCCATTTGCTCTTCTTACCTATTGGTAGAATTAGATATGTTATAGAATCCAGAAAATTTTAAACATCTGTTATGAATTTAAACTGGCTTAATAATATAGGGGGATATTTTGAATAACCTTATATGTTATTTATACTGTCATTTATTTATAATGAGTCCCACAGTTGTACTGAATGATTAAAAAGTAATGTATCCTAGGCCTGTTCCATTCAAGATATGTAAAGTCCCAAGCAATATACATATTTTAAAAATCTATATATTTTAAGCCATGAATTACATAAGACCTTTCGTGAATCCTTCATTAAGTATTCTGTATATGTTGATTGGCACTTTTTAAAAAGTTACCTTTTGAGTAATTGTAAGCAGAACATGATTCACAATAGTGCTTACTGCTTTTTTTAATCCATTAATCTCCTGACTGACATTTATATATATCTATGAATTATATTAACTACTTCATCTACATTTGAATACAAAATTACTTAAATTGGTAATAGAAAGCATTCTTTAGGAGGTGAGAGTGAAGTGATTATTCCCTTTTAGTTTAGTCCAATTGAGTTTAATATCAGAAATTTGCTTCATTTTTATAATCATAGATTTTTTTTCTAAGACTTAAACTTAAGATTGAACTGCCCAATGGATATCTAATCATATATTATAAAATTTTCTTAATTTGTGCACAATAATGAAGTCAATTTAAAATAATCACAATAATAAAGTTGGACATTTCTGAATTATTTCAGGGAATTTCTCATCCTCTTTGAAAGGCTTTTATAATTTATTCCATGCATAAGTTCTGAGCAGTGTGTTGAAAATGCAACCACTAAAAAAAAAAAAACCTCAGATCTCTCAAAAACTATATGCAATCATAATTATATATATACATATATGTAGCATGACATCAGTAGTGATAATGAAATATTTTTACACACCAGTATTTTTTTGAAATGCAGTATGTGTTTAACTAACTTGAAAATGATATTTTTATAATTTTCTATACATAGAAGTTGTTCAGCATAAATAAGTGTCAATTTAAATATTTATATTTTGAGTTGAAGAGAAATGGGTCAGATATATTTGCCAGTCTTCAAAATATGTTCCCTTAAAGCATAATGCAGGCAGTTCTCCCCTTAAAATGCTTGGGGATCTTTGGTTGCAAGTAACAACAACAGACTGTGGCTCATTTAGCTCAAGGTAGAGATCTTAGATAAACATTTTATTTTGTTAACTTCTGTTGTATGCCCACCACCATGCTCATGACCCACCTCTTAGGTCAGTGCTAAGAGAGGACAAAGCATATCGATTCATAGTCCTACCAGGACACCCCACAATGACAGAGCAGAAATTTCCCAAAGAGGGGAAAGTGGGCATTGGAGGAAAAACTTACAAATTCCATCTATGAATCAGCTTTGTTTCCCCAATTCATTTTTAAATCTGATATTTGAAGAGTTGATAATGCCTTTTTTGACCTTCGACAAGAACTTCAACAGTTGGGTTCAGAGCTCCAGAAATAGTCATTTCTAGTAAAGCTGCTGCATTATTTTTTTTTTCCTCTTACTGTGTGAATATGGAACACATAACATTTAAGAAAGAACCTGTTTTCTCATCTGTTAACTACTTCATCTACATTTGAATACAATATTACTTAAATTGGAGATAGAAAGCATTCTTTGGGAGGTGAGATTGAAGTGATTATTCCCTTTTAGTTTAGTCCAACTGAGTTTAATATTACAGAATTTAATTTAGGGAGATGTAAGAACTTCCCTATTTGTATCATTCAGTTCTGGTGGTGATCATATAACATTTTTAAAGTGAAGAGTGAAGAAAACACTGTACACTTATAATTATACAAGGAATAAAGGATGCACAACTAGAGGAAAAGCCAGTAAGGACATACAGCCCAGCCCATTCCTCTTTTAATTATTGAAATACAGTTCTGAAACTGCACAAAAGATATGATCCTGGTTTGTGATTTTGATGAATGATCAGGAAACAAAGGATTAAGGCTCATCTATCTTAAACGTAAAAGTTATAGACTTCTCTTCAAGCAGGTTTATTATTTTTATTCCGAGAATCAGACTATTTCTGGGATACTCATTGGGGTTGGAGAAGTCTGGCTTGACAAAGCTGTAGAAATGGGTAGAACCATGTTTGCTCTAAGATAGAGAAAATGGAAAAGAGTAGTAATGACTGGCATTTATTGAGATTTCTGTACAAGCTGGGCCCTCTCCATGCTTTATCTCATTTAATCCTCAAAATACTGCAAAGATATAGGAGCTTTATATCTGTTTTACCTGTGTGAAAATTGAAGGGATATCTACCAAGTAACTTACCAAGTAAGTGAGAAACTAGTCTTCAAACCCAGTTTAAGCTCTTATCCTTGAAGCAGAAGAGCAGATACCTGCTCTTCTTTCTCTTAATACCTCTCCTACTGCCAGATGGGAAATGAAAGGAAGGGTGGAAGCATTTTGTCTGTCTATTTTAAATATGTGTGTTTATGTGCACATGACCTAGACGACAGACATAATTCCATACTTGGCAACAGTGTCTATGTCCAGTTGAGCAGTTTCATCACTTTCTGGCACTCGAATAAGTTACTACTAAATGACATAATTTTCTGAGTTGGCTGATGCAGATTAGTAATTGGCAGAAGAAAGGAGATGAGACTTCTAGTAATATCTCTATGGATGGCCCTGCTGCAAGTATTCGATGCACACAACCTGCAGTGCCAGAAAGATGAAGTCCCAGTGGTCCATACCATTTTGGGGAAAGATAACTACAGGCCATAATGGGAATGAAGGAAGCTGCTTGGGTCCCATGGAAACAAAATCCTTTGTTATGCTGTTGGAGAAGCGCTCATTCTTGCAATCACCTGTGGTCCATTTAGGAAGAAACTTGATTTACCTAAATTTTGGAAGAGTGAAAAGTATGGCACTGTACAAGTGATGAATTTAATTTTTGTATTTCATTAGCACCAGTAATTCCAGATTTGGCTCATATCTGCCAAATTATTTTTTGCTCGTGTTTTGTGCATGAATTCATTGGTATTAACAATAGTACTGAAACTGATCACTGCATTTCCATTAATTATCCTGCTCTTTTTGGAATTTTAGGAAATGTTATGCTTAAAACATCTGGGAACTACTCTCACTATAGGCAAAAATAATCTGCCATTCATTAGTTTAAAATTCTATAAAACTTATCATTGTGAAAGATTTACAAGTATCCAGATTATAGTTGGTTGATTTTTATCAGTCACTTTTGAGAGAAAACTGTGCTCTCTTGGATTAATTAAATTGAGTAAATTCTAATGGAAAAGTTTCGTCTGTATCCTTAGACACTGCATTTTCCACTGAGAGAGATTATGCAAAAGAGCATTATAAACGCACTAAAATCTGACATTTGAAAGAATTTGTTATGGCCCATTATTTCATCTAACAATGAAAATGTAGAGGCAGCAGACGTGAATAAATCAATCAGTGTGCTTTTGCTGCAGAAGCCCTGTTTTTGGTTTATTCATCACTGTAGTTAATGCATTGGGAAAAATATATATATAATTTTGAGCGATTTATAAAAACGTTTTTCTGATTATACCATCTCATTGTTTATAGCTTTTAACAAATGTAATATACTGATTGTGGTGTTTTGAAAACATAAATACATCTTCCCATCTGATGTACTCTGTTTCTACTGATGTTTGGTGTATCTGAATAAATGCATTATTACTTTCAGGTGGGAAAGGTGGAAAAAAGAAGAAAAATAAAAACTCTTCTAAACCACAGAAAAACAATGGATCGACCTGGGCCAATGTTCCTCTACCTCCTCCCCCAGTCCAGCCCCTTCCTGGTACAGAGCTGGAACACTATTCAGTGGAACAGCAAGAAAATGGGTAAAACTCTTTTCCATACCAATGAAATGCCCAGGGCTCTCCTCTTCTCTCTCTCTTGTGCTTTTTTGTCTTTATCTGGTGTTCTCTTACTGTTTTACCTGTCCCCTTCCCAGCCCATTCATTGCCCTCCCCCCGTGCCCCTTTTGTTGTTTGCACCGTCTATGTATTTTCGCTGATAAATACAACACAGCACATATTGAGAACCTGGAATCCTCGGCTGTCAAGTGCCTTATATTATTTGCAATCATGATAATGCAGCCTCCATTTATAATATTGCTTGTTAGTTTGAAAGCGGGTACCCACAGCTCCGTGAACTAAAGAGCCACTCCTGAGCGGGGCTGAAAAGGAAATTAAAATAACCTTCTTCATCATCTCTCATGGTTTTCTAATGACTTGGTGTCTGGCCGCAGGTGAGCACCCTCTGTTGAGTTCCATCCCATGGTGTAATTGTGGGGACTTTCATCATTAGCTGTGATGGGAATGTAGGGGCCGGAACGATGAAACAGGTTCAGGCCAATGCACATTCTGTAACAAAACCTCTCTAAGTTAGAAAATTTCCGTCAAGGGCGTTTAAATGTGACTGGTCTCCTTATTCGTTCCCAAATATCTCGAGTTCGTGTTCCTCTGTTAACATGTTAATTGACTTTAAAGCAGAAACACATTGATACTTTTTATTTTCTAATTAAAAAAAAACAGCAAATGAAGAGAAACATACTCAGTCTTTTTTTTTTCTATTTTAATAATTCTTTTTTTTTTTTTTTACTTCCTAGATATTTTATTCTGTGTCTGGCCACATGCACACACACAGGATTGCAATATAGATAAACAGACTATAGGGTTCCCTGCTGCTGTTGTTTGTAAGAAACATATATTGCATCTGCTTTGTCACGAAATATTGACCATTGCAACTATATAACAGGGTTCTGTTGTTTTATTTCAGGCCATAGTTCATTTTATTTTTGTATTTCTAATTAGTGGTAAATTACACAAGTTAAATATATTTTCTTTTTTAAAAAAAAACAATATAGGGGCGCCTGGGTGGCTCAGTCAGTTTAAGCGTCTGCCTTTGGCTCAGGTCGTGATCCCAGGGATCTGGGATCAAGTCCCACATCGGGCTCCCTGCTCCATGGGGAGCCTGTTTTTCCTTCTCCCACTCCCCCTGTTTGTGTTCTCTCTCTCACTGTGTTTCTCTCTGTGAAATAAATAAATAAAATCTTAAAAAAGAAATAAAAATAAGCATATCACAGATAAGTTTCCCTCTAACTTTTGTCCCCTCTTCCACTTCCCAAAGTTAATCACTCTAGATACACTTGTATACATTTTTTATTTAACATATTAATAATAACTTTTATTTTTTATTTAAATTCAATTAATTAATATATAAGGTATTATTAGGTTCAGAGGAACTTTTTATATTTCTTTATACCTTTCTAGATACCCTATTACTTTACATCTATGTGTGTGTGGGCACATTATCACACTATAGATGTAAATCTACAACATTATTTTATTGAGACATGAAACTCAACTGACTCAACGTGATCCATGAGTCAGTATTCATAGGTCTAAAAAATTATCAAAGTATTTTCATAATTCTAATTGCTCTGTCTTCCTCACAATTTCTGGGTCACCACCACTTTTGAATGAAACTGAAAAATACATAATAAAGGCAGCTTTTCTTTTTCCAAGTTTCTTTAAATTTTGAAATCTTTAGATGTTAAGACACCTCAGTTTATTTGAATAATAGTTGTATCTCTGTCTTATTTTATGTAAAGAGCACATGCACATAATTTTTTTGGCTCCATCTCCTTTTCTTTTTAAACAAGTGCTATCTTTGATGTCTCCAAGTTAATTTTTTTTTTTTTTTTGAGAGGGAGAGAGAGAGAGAGAGAGAGAAAGAGAGGAGGGGCAGAGGGAGAGGGAGAGAGGAGAATCTTAAGCAGGCTTCATGCCCAGTGCTGGGCCCGACATGGGGCTCGATCTCACAACCCTGAGATCATGACCTGAGCCACAGTCAAGAGCAGGACACTGAACTGATGAGCCACTCAGGTGCCCCTCCAGATTAATATTCTTTACTGGAACTTTCTATGTCACAACATTTGCTTCCTTCTATAAAGACCTCATTTACCTTTTTTTTTAATTATGTAATGCTTCTACATATATACTATATATATATATATATATATACATTATACACACAGATGATAGGTAGATATGCATATCTGCATATATATTCATACACACATACACATATATTCACATACATAACTCTATATTTTCTTCTTGACATCTTTCTTTTTCTCCAGAGGTCTTCACCTACTTCTGGGGGATTATAATTCCCACATATATGCATATCATTATTATTTTACTTTTTTAAAAAGTTCTCATTCGAGATAGGAAATTACAAGCACACCCTCTTTTCTCTGACTTTTTAAAAATGCTACATTTTGCACATGATCTTATGTAAAACATATTAATAATGTAAATGTGCCCGTGCCACATGAAGTCTGTTGAAGAAAAACCAGAGATGTGTATTCTGTAAGAAAAGATGATTACAGGGCTTAGGAATCTGCATTTCATTTTTTTTAAGATTTTATTTATTTGGGCGCCTGGGTGGCTCAGTTGGTTAAGCGACTGCCTTCGGCTCAGGTCATGATCCTGGAGTCCCGGGATTAGTTCCACATCGGGCTCCCTGCTCAGCAGGGAGTCTGCTTCTCTGACCCTCTTCCCTCTCGTGCTCTCTATCTCTCATTCTCTCTCTCTCTCAAATAAGTAAATAAAAATCTTTAAAAAAAGAAGTCTGTTTCTAAAAAAAAAAGATTTTATTTATTTGTCAAAGAGAGGGGGAGAGAGGGCATAAGCTGGGGGAGCGGCAGGCAGAGGGAGAGGGAGAAGCAGGCTCCCGGCTGAGCAAAGAGCCCGATGCGGGACTGGATCCCGGGGTCCTGGGATCATGACCTGAGCTGAAGGCAGACCCTTAACTGACTGAGCCACTCAGGCATTCCAGTCTTCTGAATTTTAAAGGCTATAGTCAGAAAATGGGAAAATAGAGCTTGTAAACTGGGAAGAGAAAATAGTACTATCAAATATGTTCAAGCATAAAGTAGGTAATTTGGAATTTTTCTTTTTTTTTTTTCTTTCCCCACTACGTCTATTAAGAAACAGACTGTAATAGCTATTACCCATTGAAATAAAATTAATTCATTCCAAAGAAATGCTAAACTTCTCACTCAATTTTATTGCCTAGCAGGAGAATTGAAAATATCATTTGATGAATGAAATAAGATACATTGCGGCAGACTTTTATTTTTTGATATAAATTATCATCTGAACATCAGGCCATAAAATATAAAGTTGTTTCTGAATTATTTTCGTATTTAGCCAGGATATATGATATTAGAAAATCTTTTCTTTTGTAAAAGATTTCTAGAAATTCATTTGGTGCTTTAGATAGGTAAAGAAATATATATTTTAATTATATATATTCAAAGTCTTTGTAGCATGTAGCTTGTTTTTTAATAACCTTTGAGTCATTTGCCTTAAGTAACTAGTATTTCCTGAAACAAAAATTATCACTTTTAACGGAAATAGTAAAGTCTTATCTATCAGTAAATTGACAGCAAAATTCAATATTCTCATTCTTTGGGCTCCGTTTTTCCAAGGTTATTATTTCAATTGTTTGTAACAACACCTATTTAAAGTCAATATGACAAAAATAAATTAGCTTAGATTTGTGATGACTTTGTCCATTTCTTGATATATTCTTTATACTTCTCTGTTTTCTAATGTAGAAACCTTATAATAGTGAAAAAAAGGGGCACCTGGCATGGCTCAGTCTCTTAAATATCTGAGTCTTGATTTTGGCTCAAGTCATCAACTCAGAGTTTTGAGATCAAGCTCCAAACCCAGAGGAGAGTCTGCTCTGCCACCACTGCGTGCCTCACCCCCCCACCCCACTCATGTGCGTGCTTGTGTCCTGTCTCTCAAATAAAAAAGAAATACATATTTAAAAAAAAGATTTTTGAACACTTCCTAGTTATTTTATAATGTGCTACTCATGATATTAACGTTGAATATTTTACAGCTGAGTTCTTCTATAGAATTGTTTATATGCCTTGTTTTGAAACTCGTGCAGGTTTTAAGGTTCTCTTGAAATGCAAACAACAAAAACTTCAGAAGTCCCCTTTTGGTTTTGATAATTTTTATTTTAACAACCAAGAATTCTGCAACTGTAGTTCTTAATGGTGATCCATAGTTGTTCTTTCTGCTGTTTTTAGCATATCATGATAGAGAACTTATTCCACACACATTTTTTTTAAGTACATAGCAAGTGCTGAGCCCAGTGCCAGGAAAAAAAGTAACAGGGATGAAAGAAACAAATACACAATTATTCAGGAAGATCTGATCTCTGATCTAGGGAGTTCACAGGAGTGGTAGGTAGAGAGCAGAAAACACGGACGCGCGCATGCACACACACACACTCTTTTGTGTGATAAGCCCTAGATGAGCAATGTATACAAAATAATAATTTGTATTCTGGGAAGGATAAACATGTGTGCCAGGTAAAGTTGGGGCAGTCTTGAGGCGAATCTTGAATCATTTATTCACAAATAATAGCACCCAGCATTCTAACTGGCTGCTGGTCGCCAGCTCTGAGCTTGAGACAGAAAGGACAGAGGCCAAGCAATGGTCCCTAACCGAAAGCAGCCTAGGTGCCAGAATAAATGATTAACCAAGGACTACAACAAAATGTTACTAATGTCACCATTTGCTGTGCGGATGGAGAGAAATTTCCATAGCCGAAAGAAAAATATATATAGGGCGCCTGGGTGGCTCAGTTGGTTAAGCAACTGCCTTCAGCTCAGGTCATGATCCTGGAGTCCCGGGATCGAGTCCCGCATCGGGCTCCCTGCTCGGCGAGGGGCCTGCTTCTCCCGCTAACCCTCCCCGCTCTCATGTACTCTCTCTGTCTCATTCTCACTCTCTCAAAAAAATAAATA